CGTGTTACGCTTCACGTTTGAGCTTCTACAAGAACCAATGAAGTTCATTCTTGTGTTACGCTTCACGTTTGAGCTTCTACAAGAACCAATGAGGTTCATTCTCGTGTTATGCAGCACGTTTGAGCTTCTACAAGAACCAATAAGGTTCATTCTCGTGTTACGCAGCACGTTTGAGCTTCCACAAGAACCAATGAGGTTCATTCTCGTGTTACGCAGCACGTTTGAGCTTCTACAAGAACCAATGAGGTTCATTCTCGTGTTACGCAGCACGTTTGAGCTTCCACAAGAACCAATGAGGTTCATTCTCGTGTTACGCAGCACGTTTGAGCTTCAGCAAGAACCAATGAGGTTCATTATCGTGTTACGCTTCACGTTTGAGCTTCTACAAGAACCAATGAAGTTCATTCTTGTGTTACGCAGCACGTTTGAGCTTCCACAAGAACCAATGAGGTTCATTCTCGTGTTACGCAGCACGTTTGAGCTTCTACAAGAACCAATGAGGTTCATTATCGTGTTAAGCAGCACGTTTGAGCTTCAGCAAGAACCAATGAGGTTCATTATCGTGTTACGCAGCACGTTTGAGCTTCAGCAAGAACCAATGAGGTTCATTATCGTGTTACGCAGCACGTTTGAGCTTCCACAAGAACCAATGAGGTTCATTATCGTGTTACGCTTCACGTTTGAGCTTCTAAGAACCGATGAGGTTCATTATCGCAACATGACATCATGACTTTTGCATAAACATACACGCCACTTTCAAGTCAAGTGGCGTGTTATCTTTACTCATTTTGAGCTATCCGCGTGTATGTCCTTATCCGCGTGTATGTCCACGCCGAAACGAACCATCATCTTTTGCGTGTATGTCTACGCCGTTAAATGTCCGAGCGAAACGAAGCAAAATGTAGATCTACATCTGGGGAGCGATATTTTTTTCCCTAGGATGTTAGGGGAATACTCATAAATGGTATTAACCCCAGTGATGGGTAGGTTTAGGGACGGGGTTGGGGTAGGTCATATATTTATATATACAGTAATGTACGTTAAGTCAACGGCGTTGATAAACACGCTGAAAAGCGATTATGCGTGTTGATAGCACGCCAAAAATGGAAATACGAATTGGCGTGTCATACAAACGCCATTTCATGAGATCAGTCTGATTATCGTGTTACGCAGCACGTTTGAGCTTCAGCAAGAACCAATGAGGTTCATTCTTGTGTTACGCAGCACGTTTGAGCTTTTACAAGAACCAATGAGGTTCATTCTCGTGTTACGCAGCACGTTTGAGCTTCTACAAGAACCAATGAAGTTCATTCTTGTGTTACGCAGCACGTTTGAGCTTCTACAAGAACCAATGAAGTTCATTCTCGTGTTACGCAGCACGTTTGAGCTTCTACAAGAACCAATGAAGTTCATTCTCGTGTTACGCAGCACGTTTGAGCTTCAGCAAGAACCAATGAGGTTCATTATCGTGTTACGCTTCACGTTTGAGCTTCAGCAAGAACCAATGAGGTTCATTATCGTGTTACGCAGCACGTTTGAGCTTCCACAAGAACCAATGAGGTTCATTCTCGTGTTACGCAGCACGTTTGAGCTTTTGTAAGAACCAATGAGGTTCATTCTCATGTTACGCACTACGTTTGAGCTTCCACAAGAACCAATGAGGTTCATTCTCGTGTTACGCAGCACGTTTGAGCTTCAGCAAGAACCAATGAGGTTCATTCTCGTGTTACACAGCACGTTTGAGCTTCCACAAGAACCAATGAGGTTCATTCTCGTGTTACGCAGCACGTTTGAGCTTCAGCAAGAACCAATGAGGTTCATTATTGTGTTACGCAGCACGTTTGAGCTTCTACAAGAACCAATGAGGTTCATTCTCGTGTTACACAGCACGTTTGAGCTTCCACAAGAACCAATGAGGTTCATTCTCGTGTTACGCAGCACGTTTGAGCTTCAGCAAGAACCAATGAGGTTCATAATCGTGTTACGAAGCAAGTTTGAGCTTCAGCAAGAACCAATGAGGTTCATTATCGTGTTACGCAGCACGTTTGAGCTTCCACAAGAACCAATGAGGTTCATTCTCGTGTTACGCAGCACGTTTGAGCTTCAGCAAGAACCAATGAGGTTCATTATCGTGTTACGCAGCACGTTTGAGCTTCAGCAAGAACCAATGAGGTTCATTCTCGTGTTACGCTTCACGTTTGAGCTTCTAAGAACCGATGAGGTTCATTCTCGTGTTACGCAGCACGTTTGAGCTTCAGCAAGAACCAATGAGGTTCATTATCGTGATACGAAGCACGTTTGAGCTTCAGCAAGAACCAATGAGGTTCATTATCGTGTTACGCAGCACGTTTGAGCTTCTACAAGAACCAATGAGGTTCATTCTCGTGTTATGCAGCACGTTTGAGCTTCAGCAAGAACCAATGAGGTTCATTATCGTGTTACGCAGCACGTTTGAGCTTCCACAAGAACCAATGAGGTTCATTCTCGTGTTATGCAGCACGTTTGAGCTTCAGCAAGAACCAATGAGGTTCATTATCGTGTTACGCAGCACGTTTGAGCTTCAGCAAGAACCAATGAGGTTCATTATCGTGTTACGAAGCACGTTTGAGCTTCAGCAAGAACCAATGAGGTTCATTATCGTGTTACGCAGCACGTTTGAGCTTCCACAAGAACCAATGAGGTTCATTCTCGTGTTACGCAGCACGTTTGAGCTTCAGCAAGAACCAATGAGGTTCATTATCGTGTTACGCAGCACGTTTGAGCTTCAGCAAGAACCAATGAGGTTCATTATCGTGATACGAAGCACGTTTGAGCTTCAGCAAGAACCAATGAGGTTCATTATCGTGTTACGCAGCACGTTTGAGCTTCTACAAGAACCAATGAGGTTCATTCTCGTGTTACGCAGCACGTTTGAGCTTCAGCAAGAACCAATGAGGTTCATTATCGTGTTACGCAGCACGTTTGAGCTTCCACAAGAACCAATGAGGTTCATTATCGTGTTACGCAGCACGTTTGAGCTTCAGCAAGAACCAATGAGGTTCATTATCGTGTTACGCAGCACGTTTGAGCTTCAGCAAGAACCAATGAGGTTCATTCTCGTGTTACGCTTCACGTTTGAGCTTCTAAGAACCGATGAGGTTCATTATCGTGTTACGAAGCACGTTTGAGCTTCAGCAAGAACCAATGAGGTTCATTATCGTGTTACGCAGCACGTTTGAGCTTCAGCAAGAACCAATGAGGTTCATTCTCGTGTTACGCAGCACGTTTGAGCTTCAGCAAGAACCAATGAGGTTCATTCTCGTGTTACGCAGCACGTTTGAGCTTCAGCAAGAACCAATGAGGTTCATTCTCGTGTTACGCTTCACGTTTGAGCTTCTAAGAACCGATGAGGTTCATTATCGTGTTACGAAGCACGTTTGAGCTTCAGCAAGAACCAATGAGGTTCATTCTCGTGTTACGCTTCACGTTTGAGCTTCTAAGAACCAATGAGGTTCATTCTCGTGTTACGCTTCACGTTTGAGCTTCTAAGAACCAATGAGGTTCATTCTCGTGTTACGCAGCACGTTTGAGCTTCTAAGAACCAATGAGGTTCATTCTCGTGTTACGCAGCACGTTTGAGCTTCAGCAAGAACCAATGAGGTTTATTCTCGTGTTACGCTTCACGTTTGAGCTTCTAAGAACCAATGAGGTTCATTCTCGTGTTACGCAGCACGTTTGAGCTTCAGCAAGAACCAATGAGGTTCATTATCGTGTTACGCAGCACGTTTGAGCTTCCACAAGAACCAATGAGGTTCATGTTCGTGTTACGCAGCACGTTTGAGCTTCCACAAGAACCAATGAGGTTCATTCTCGTGTTACGCAGCACGTTTGAGCTTCCACAAGAACCAATGAGGTTCATTCTCGTGTTACGCTTCACGTTTGAGCTTCTAAGAACCGATGAGGTTCATTATCGTGTTACGCAGCACGGTTGAGCTTCAGCAAGAACCAATGAGGTTCATTCTCGTGTTACGAAGCACGTTTGAGCTTCAGCAAGAACCAATGAGGTTCATTCTCGTGTTACGAAGCACGTTTGAGCTTCAGCAAGAACCAATGAGGTTCATTCTCGTGTTTGCGCTTTCTATTTGCGAAACAGTTGAACAAGAAAAAGAAAGATGGCGTCTAAAAGTTGCTGTTGTTGGTCAGTGTGTGTGTAAATGCACGTTTTTGACCAACGGTTTCCACTTCCGATGTCATTTCTCGAGAAATTACTTCTGTAGTAATTAAATATTTGTTTAGTTTAATCTCGCACAAAGCTTGCTCATTAAACTGTTTCATAGCTTCGTGCGCAAATGCTGCATGCAGAGCCATTGCATGAGGCAGTGAGGCAACATCTGACTAGCCTGAGTTTTAGGATCCAGCCTTCTTGTGCGTCAAGCAGGTTCGGTTGAAATGTTTATGTTTGCTGATCAATGTTAATATATGAATAAAATTCCATCTGTTCATCATATAAAGCGATCAAGTCTCTTCAGAAATTTTGGACTAAACCGCTCAATTCATATGGATTAGTTTTACGATCTCTTTATGAACTTTTGCAAAGTTGTGTAGCTGTCCTTTTGAAGCATATGTAAATCCCTTTTGTGACATATAAACGCACTTTATTTAGCGTTCCGGTAAATACTATGTTCGGATTCATCAAATAAGTGTCCATATAAACGTGGCTGCACTGAATTACAAAACAAAGTAACTCTGAATGTAAAGAAGGCCTCAAACAAATATGTATGAAAATTAAGACAAACAAACTGAAATCAAATGTTTACTCAAAATTCACACACACAAACACACACAAAATCTGTTGGCAAGATTGTCACTAATTTATTAAAATAAATTAAAAGCACCCATTAAAACGGAATATAATCAATGCAGAGAACTTAACTTGATTTTTCAACAAAAAACAATAAAACATAATCAGGAAAAATGCAACTAAAAACATCACCAGCACACATTAGTTCTGTCTTACTTACGCATCCCTCATAGAAGTTCTTGATGTAGTTTAAGGACATGATAATGTCTTTTTTCTTTCTTTAAGTTCAAATAGTCTGTAATGCTTTGCCCTCATTTCAGACCTGTTGCCTTCTGCTGAGCTCCAGCTCAAACGCTGCAGTTCCTGTTGACCTGTGCAGCTCCGGTCAATGCATTTTCCCTTTCATCTGCTCTACCTTCATCGATTTAACCATGAGGTACAAAAAGACAACAAAAAGGCAAAAACAAAAGAACTGAACATGTGCTCCTCACATAATCCCCATTCAACTACGTCAGCAGAAAAAAACAGGCCTTTTGAGGCATAATGGGGGAACAGCTGACAAAAAGTGTAAAACAAAGTAAATTAAAGAAACCAAGACATGGCAATAAAACAAATGCAACAGCTGATGTTTTCAAACACAATGTAAATGTTTTTATTATATCACTTATGCTACTTTGGATGTTGTATGACTGTAAATCTATATACAGTCATTTTTGCATTTTCAAGATCAGTGGAAACACTGTCACTAAAATGAACAAATCAAAACAATAAATATAAATTGAATTTGATTATATTTTGAAGAAGCTTACCAGCCTGAGCCCAAGTGGAGAGTTTGTCCTCCTCATTTATTCAGGCATAACGCAAGACTCATGGGAAATACTTCTCTTGAATGCCTTTCCCAGCAAAGTTTATCAAGTCACTAATGAAAAGACTGTCAAAACCAGCTGTCAACATTTACCCATTTGGCTTCCAAAGGCGATCTGGGCAATCCCATCCTGAAAACATGGCACTCTGTGAGCCACACTCTGCCTGTAGAATCTCTTTTCACACACTGAGATGAATGGAGGAATATCTGAGCTGCTCAAAGTAAAGGAATAGTTTGAATAATGAAGAGCTTTTAAAGATGGGGTTGGATGTGGATGCACACTTTACAAATTATTTTTGGAAAATATCTTAAATGCATAACATACATTTGCATTTTAAAAATGTTTTAATGTTAAAAGTTTTTTAACATATATTTTTTTTTAAGTTTTGCATTGTTACAGTATTTTCTTCATAATTAAGCACATTACTAATCTTTTAAAATGTTTAAATCAGCATAAATTGAAGGCATGCCACAAATACAAGCATGCTGCGCAAACACTTTTTATACAATTTAAATATTATATTTCCCCCCGCATATTAAAGTCATGAGAATTTGTTTTGTGTGTGAACAAATGAAAAATGTAGAGAAAATATAATTAATCGTTAATCAGAAAATTAATCTCAAACTGGAAGAAAAAGAAGTCCTAAGAAAAGCTTTTTTTTGTAGTGAAATAGGACCTGGACATGTTTTTGATGTTTCAGGAGATTCACAATTTCATATGATTGAAGTGCCCCAATTATGCTTTTTTGAATATTACCTTTCATGTAGTGTGTAAAATAGATGTTTGTGAATGTAAAAGGTCTGCAAAGTGTCAAAGATCAAAGTGCATGATAAATGAAGTTATTGCCTCTTAAAAGAAAGAATCGATTATGAACTGCCGAAACGAGTTGTCAGAAATTCAAGTCTCACTTCCTGTTACAAACCTACATAACAATGTAATACATTTGCATAATGCCATCCTATGGTCTTCAACGGCATCCACGAACATTGTCTACTATGACCCTCAAACACTGTAGTTGTAGCTGTGGTGTGAAAGAGTTTGTTCGTCTTGTCAACATGTTGAGAAGACGCTGTTTTCAGCGCTGCAAATGGTTTGCTGCACTTCATAAGGATAAGGACTCGATAGGCTGGAATTGATACGGGAAAAAATGCCATTGTTACCCGTTCGTATACTGTGTGTATCAAGCACTGTGGAAACAACAGACGGGACCGTCTGACCAATCAGAGCAGAGGAGGCTCTCGAAAGGAGGGATTTAGAAAGACTGAATCTTTGAATGAACCATTTTCAGACTCTTTGAGAAATGTGATTTGCAATGTATATTATGAGAAAATTAAAGCGATTTTTTTTTTTACATTGGAAGCTTGTAAACCTATTTGCATGACAATAATAAAAATGGTTAGAAAATATGCTTAATTCCCATTAAACTAACCTCAAAATACAAAAAGCAACAACAAAAGCAGACATATATAGGCCTAAAATAGACCTGGGGCCTCATTTATAAAACTTTGCGTAGGATTTGCGTCAGAAGTGGCGTACGGATGAAACATAGGACGTGCGTACGCACAGAAATATTCGGATTTATAAAACCGTGCGCACGCACATCCTACGCATTTTTCCCTTAATAAATCACAATCAATTCTAAATGTAGCGCAGCTTTTGCGGCTTCATGTCACGCCCATAGTTGCCCATAAATAGTCCGTGAAACGCCCACAAGTTAATATTCAACGATTGCGAAATCGTGGCAAACATAGAGAGGAAATAAAAAAAACGTAACTTCATTCAATGTGAAGTAGAAGTTATCGTTGGCGAGGTGGAAAAGAGGAGAAAAAATGTTGTTTGGAGGGCACAGTGTGGGCATTAGCCTACTAATGCCAAAAAGGCACTTGAGTGGCAAAAGGTTGCAGACGCCGTATGCTGTAGCCTCACAACCTCGGACTGTGGCCGAAATAAAAAAGAAATGACAAGCTACAGATGTCGGTTATAATCTACTTGGAAATGGGTTCAGCGCAAATGTAATTTCTTGCAGCTTTCTGAATGGTTGAGACATACGTCATACGTTATTTTATCAAAAATAAAACAAGGCATATGCATGAAATACCTGCATGAATAGGCCTACCATGATTCCGTAGCTGAAGACATTTTTACTATGAAAACAACTTTCCCCAGTGGACAAATAATACATCTATCTATTTCAGGGGCGTAGCAGCCATTATAAAAGTGGGGGGGACAAAATTGTGTGGTGATGTGACCCAAAGGTCAGTCCTTCCAGAAAAATGCGGAGTTTTTTTGTGATTGTTGCGGGCAAAAATCCTTGATTATGCGGCGATGGAATATGCAGGATATTTGCAATTTTATGTGATGAAATTGCGGGAACTTGCAAAAACTGCGGTTTGATGAAAAAGAGAGAAAAAGTGATTCCCCAACACCCTGTTCGCACTAGGCTACTACCTTAATGTAAAGAGCTATTTCTTATTACTTCCTATGATAAGCAAACATACTACATCACAGAAAGTGCTGGAATATTTAATCTTGTTTTATTTCAGACCTTAATAAACACATGGCTCAAACTTACAAAACATTGATGAGTCAAACAAGTTCTGTAGCTTTACAAAAGGAATATGCTACAACTTCTGTAAAAATGAATAAATAAAATATGAAAAAAATGTTTCATGTTTTACAGTTTTGTTTTTTCAATGATGTTCATGTCGCGTAATTACGTCACTTCATAACGTTCCCATGGCAACAGGGGGAAACGGCTGCTCTCGTGTGAAGCAAACGCAACATTTTTCAACTTTCTGCTAAGATATATGTGACTTTTTTTGCAACAAAAATGCGGGGATTATGAAATCATACAAGCCCCGCATATTTTGCGTGGAAATCGGCAATTTATACGGCAAAAGTGCGGCGTATTTGAAAAAATGCCCCCGCATAAATATGCAGACTTTGGCTGATTATTGAATCATGCGATCGCATAATCGCGTTTTTCTGGAGGGACTGAAAGGTGATGTTCATAATAATAAATTCTAGATGGAATAGCAATTGGCATTTTACAGCACCCTAGTGCCAATTTTGGGAACATGCCAGTTTACAGCACCTATTTTTGTGAAATCATACTCGAAATAAAAAAATATTGCAGGACTTGGGACTTTCAGACAACTGTGGACATCTATACTTTATTTTTATACATTTTATAAAAATATATCAATAAAACCTAAATCAATGTATTCGGTTTTGGACATCAATTTAACATTGACATTAGATGTTGAATTTACATTGAATTTTGGTCACCCGACGTCGCAACCAAAATTTAACCAAATATCAACGTCTTATGACGTTGTGTGCCTGCTGGGAATAATCTGTTATGCCTCATTTAACAGACGCTTTTATCCAAAGCAACAAGTAGGAGAGCATTTAACACACACTCGGCACAATCCGGCGCGACGTGACGAGGTCCATACGGGTTCTGTTGTCTTACACTTCTTACAGCGTTACAGTAGGTTAAATCATAATAAGGAAACTTTACCTGTGATTCATGTCATCGCGACATACTGTAATAGTGTGTGTTTGAAAAAAAATGATGTAGTCCTCTGCTTTTTTTTCTGGGGTGCATTAGACGGCCAAGCAGCAACAAACACGAAAATTCGCAAGAGCAACAACAGATTTGAAGCTCATGGCAGACGCGCCCAATAGATGCTTCGCGCTGTGATTGGCTGAATGTTAGCTCACTCAAGTCTAAGTAACAAATCAGAGAACACGGGCGGAAATATTGGCGCTGAGTAAAAAAAATGCGGGGGACAGAATCACCTGTTTCTAAAAGTGGGGGGGACGTGTCCCCCCCGTCCCCCCCGGTTGCTACGCCCCTGATCTATTTATCTATCTATCTCTCCCTAATTATCTATCTATCTGACTGACAATCTAGCTATATCTAGCTATATCTGCTCCGCCAGACGGACACATTGGCGAGAATATCAGTTTTGTACATTATTTCGTTCTGTTTACAATCATGAGGATGAATTGTATAACATGCCAATATTATTGCAGAACATATTTCACTTTTCTTTTTGCAAATATGTGTTAATTTGCATTTCTGTTGCAGATCGATCAAACGGGTGTTCGTGTAGGCTGTTAATTGTAATACTTGCTTTGTGACGTCTTCGTGTTATTTAGGAGAGGCATGTATTGCCATTTATTTTACACAACGGTCTACAGTTTCACACACTTTCACGTGTTTCTTCCATCTGCCGACGGTGTCGCCATTTCTCATTTCACCCGTTTTTGTGCGTACGCCTGGGTCAGAGCTTGCGTGAAGGACCGCACATTTTACCGTCAAGTTTGCTTTTTATAAATACCAATTATTGCGTAGAGAGCGGCGTACGCCTTCTTTTGTGCGTACGCAACGTTTATAAATGAGGCCCCTGGACTTTATGAAATTTCCTGAAATTCACAATTTCAAATGATAATTTATAAAAAATTTTTTTAAAATGCTCTGATTTGTATTGAAACATTTTCGGCTTCGTCCTGCATATTTACAGATTTCACAACAATCAAACCGTGTTTGACAAAAGGTCACAGATATTCTTTACCTATGCTGTAGATGAACATGATTTATATTTGACATACATTGCAGAACATGATTGGAATCTCAGCATGGACTTGCACAGAATTCAGCGTTCAGTGTGTTGTGTGTTCAGTGTGAGCACGATCCCTCCTGATTATTTTGAGGTCTGTCTGCTTCACGCAGCTGCTGTGTGTGTCCTGACAGAGACTCGGCTCGGCTCCACTCACTCGCTCACTGCTCCTGCTGGTAAGTGTTTCCTCACGTCTTTATTGTCTCATGCACTGTTATCATAGTTTTTTTTCAAATGTGAATGGGTTTGACTGGATGTTTGATAGCCATACTGTAAAAGTAAAAATATATTTCAACATGTTTTTAGTGTACCACAGCATGTTTTAGGCTGAATTTCTTAGGCTGAAGGTCTTGTGTGAGTCCTTGAAAATATCAGTGCAATACATTGCAATGCATGAAGGTTCATTGTAGGCTTTTATTTATTAAAATGAGCAATGCAATTTTACAACATATCATTTGAACATTGACATGCTGAAGAATAAGCAGACAAGTTGACCATATTAAGGGTCTCTTGAAATAGACTTCAGGCCATGAACAGGTGCCATGTGCTTGTGAAATCAGGGGGAGTTATCAGCCTGGACTGAGCGGCTAAATTTAACCAGATAAACAGGGGTAACAGACAGTTGCTCTGTATCTCAGGGGGTAAACATCCCTAAACAGCTCTTTAGAATAAGTAAGAATTAAATCAATTCAAAGCAGTCTTCTCACAAGCTCTAATGTGCATGTCCACTTTTAAACATATAAAAGAGATTTTTTAAGGAAACATTTCTGACCCCACTGATGATGTATTCTTTAAAGCCTTTAAATAGTTTAGTTTTAAATAATTTTTGAATAGTGATACAATTAGGGTCAACCTAAAAAAAAAACACTACTTGGTATGTATAGCCTACTATTTGTTTATTACAAAACATTTCTGTTTCATTTCATTAGCATCATGCCAAACAGATAGGTTTTTTTAATCGCTATCACCAACTGCATATCATTAGCATCATGCCAAACATTATTTATTTATTATAAAAAAATATTAAAAAGTTATATATTATAGTTACATTTTATATATATATATATATATATATATATATATATATATATATATATATATATATATATATATATATGTATTAATCAAATATTTTATTAATCAGGAATTGTATTAATCAAAGTAAAGTGTACGTTTTTCTTCAAAAACTTAAAAATCATTATCATTACATTAAACAAAATCAGTAACACTTTACAAGGTATCATTTATACCTTAACAACACCATTAGTTAACTAACATGAACTAAAAGGAAGCAATAAAGCCTATTCTTAAAGCATTTATTAAATTTTGTTAATGTTAGTTCACAGTGCATTAATTAACAGCACTTTTGATCCTAAAACGTATTATTAAATGGCGAGTTTAACATAATATACGCTGCTGTAAATAATAATAAATATAATAATAAATATAGCTGCAAGCAGCAATTAAAGCCTTTAAGCACATGCGTAAAAAGCTATGTTTTATTTAGCAATCATGTAACCACTTAAATCATAGAAGGAAAATACTATTTTCAGCCAATACAGGCAATTTTAAAGTTTTTTAACAGTTATAGCTCTACTTATGGCCCGATCTCTGTAAGAGTTTGCATGCTTCTTTAGAATCATATGGCGCATATACACCTAATTTCGTGAAGTTCTATGTACAGCAGACCATTTTTCAGTAATTTAAATGTGATTTGGCATAGGAAATATATAACGTTGTTCACCTTTATAACAGTTAAAGTGCCACCTATGGCATAAAGTTTCCATGCTTCTTTAACAACACCATTTTGCAACACCTTTTTGCAGTTATTCAGAGCTACACGCTTGAACCCCTAATAATAACAATAAACGCCGCAGAAGAGTTGTTCATTGTGAGTTCATGTTAACTAATCTAGTTAACTAATGCTAACAAATGAAACCTTATTGTAAAATTTTACCATAATATCCAATCTTGTAATATAAAACACACGATGAAACATAGTTTGAAGAAGTTTAATTTTTCATAATTTAGTAACAAATTCATCCCATCATCTTTCACTGACTCTGCCCTGTCTCAATAGTAGAATATCATCAGGATGGAGAGCTGTTCACAACCTACAAATGGAGACAGCAAGGCTGATGTGACCAATGACCTCACTGAGGATCTGAGTCAGCAGCTGGAGGACATTATCAACACCTATCAGGTGAGCGAACAGCCAGGTGAGCCTGAGGATGTTGAGGAAGAGGCTGTTCCAGGCAAGGCCAAAGAGCAGAAAATGGAGAAGAAGATGCTTAAAGGTCTCGGTGAGTCACACCAATGCAAGATATTTAACATGCTACTCCTTTTAAATCACTGGCAATGTGATTAATGATAAATTAAAACAAGTATTTCCTCTTTATACTGCTTATTTTTCCACTTTGCTCAATCAAACAGTGTGACCAAAGTAAATTGTGTCAATAATCACAGGGAAGGAAGCCATGCTGCTCATGCAAAGTCTGAATAAACTGGGAACGCCTGAGCAGAAACTAGAAGCTCTCATCAAAAAACATGCAGAACTGGTGAGTACAATCATTTACAATGTTCAGCATTTAAAACATAAAAAAAAAAAACGTTTTAATACCTAATAAAAAAAATGTATTTCTAACATTGTATGCTGGTGTACTGCTACTTAACTAACTTGTGCTGCGTTCCAGTCCAAAATTGTCATGCCCTTCACTCGCTTACACGAGTGCCTATGGCGGAAACTGCAATGGGCTGAATTGGAACGTCCTAAGGCCTTGATCACTTGGAATCAGCTATGGAGTTGATTTTTTATTTATTTTTTTAATTCCCTTTAAGAATTTGTTTAATGCAGCATCCAAATGTATATAGGTGTGTTTGTGTCATAGAGTTGTTTGTTGTGATGGTGATTAGACGAGATATGTGGTGACGTCACAATCGTACTGCATTGTGGACATAGGTGCCTGAAGTGTACATATGAAGTAGACTCGCTCCCTCGGTCAAAATCGAGGGAGCGAGGGTCTGTTCATATAAACTTCCCTCGTCCACTTCACGAAGTGGAATGCACTACAAAATGGCGGCAGGGATTCCCCAGAGGGGAAGTGCTTAGGGAAGTTTGCAAGTGCGTGTCTAAAAGTGGACCCTTATGCTACGTTCACACCGGACGCGAATAGCGCGTCAAATTCGCGTCTACCGCGTCTAGTTTGACGCTTGACCACTTTGTGTTAATTCGCGTGTCAATGGCGAAATTGACGCGCGTAAAAACAAAAGTTTGAAGCGAAATTTACGCGCGTCAGAGGCGAAAGTTTCGAAACCCGTCGGCGGCCATCTTTTTAGATGTTTATCGAGCATTAGCATTAGCATTATTCGAGAGAGTCACCGCTCGTATATGCTCTGGAGAGCAGAAACAGCTGCGTAGTCGTCGCTGTACTCGGGTCCACCAGACCCTCCGGAGGGTTTCAGGAGTTTCACCATTTGTTCCAGGAGCTAGGTTTGGTGGACCAAACGGTGAGGACGCTGACGAGGACAGCGTAGGCCGTGTAAAGCCTCGGCCTCGAGTGGTCGCTGCCTGACGAGCCCGCGCTCTACAGCCCGGCGCGAGGTTCACCCTCGCCCGCACATTTATTTGATAATAAATGGAGCCAGCCTCCAAAAGTGAAACCTGTCCTGTGATTTTTTTATTTATTATACACTATGTGTTTGTTGTTTTTACATTAAAATAATAATGTTTCATATAATCTAAAATAGATATGGAATAAATAGCATTCAATACAAAATTAGTACTATCTCTCATATATTAAAATCGAGTTTTTATGTGAAAGATTTGCTTTGTTGTGCATTAGAACCACACCAGACATTTTAGTAATATTACAAAATAATTTATTAAAATAACAAACTTTCACTTCACCACGTGACAGCAGCAAGCAGGCTCCTGATTGGTTAACGCGGCGCAAATTGACGCAGAAGTTCAAATTTTTCAACTCGGGCGGCAGACGCGAATTCGCGTCAAACGCGTGAATGCACAAATAGCACTAACTAAATCATTCGTGCGTAACGCGCTTCCGCGCCAGACGCTTCAATTCGCGCCATTCGCGCGAACTTGACGCGCGAATGAGGCGTATTCGCGTCTACCGCGCCGCGCTCTACGCCTCATTCGCGCCGCAGGAATTTTTTACGCGCGTAACGCGTCTTTGCATTGACTTAACATTGAAATCACTTGCGCCTGACGCGCTATTCGCGTCCGGTGTGAACGTAGCATTAGACTACAAGGGTACTGTAAATATCCACATAAGCATTTGGAAAAATCAGCCCGCTTTAAATTCATTTTCACAGCTTTGTGAAACCATTTTAAGTATATTAAAGGTGCCTTGTGTAATGTCCGCCAAAAAATCAATTCATACTCCACATTCCATACCAGATGGGGGCAGTATACCTCCAGAAAGTGAGTTGGTCTACTAGAGTAACAAACGAGAAACGGCATAGTCTCTATGTTCCTCCCCTACCTTCACAACGACCCTAGAGCCATAGCCGAAGCTGAGCCAACTCCTAATAGAGGACGTTTTGACTCCAGAGGAACGTTGGTTGATGTCAAGTGATTTTTAAATATGACATCTTCAAGCTACTCCCCTTCACCTTTAGCAGTGAATATGTTCATATTCGTTTTGTTCATATTACATTTTTCAAGTTTGTTTATTTCTAGAGCACATTTTTATTGTTGATCCTCATTTGTTGTTGAGTCGAACCTCATTTCTTTTATGTCCATTAGTTGTCTCCAGCGATGGAAAGCAGTGCCAATGTGCCAACTTCTGCTTCTTTTTTTATCCGATTTTATTTGTGATTCCGAGCGCGTTTTTTCCCCTGCAGCGGGTGGTTGTGATGGTGGTAAGGGTCTCTTGCCAAGAGCTTCAGCCATTCTTCCGCTCTCTTCCCTGAACTGAAATATAGTAGTGGGCTGTACTTTCCACACGATTGACATCAGGTTCAAGTACGCCCACAAGCCGTGCGAGTTATTCGTGTATTGCAGTTTGGCTGCTGGTTATGTTGCCCGCATACCGCCTCCCATGGCCGAAACTGGTACTATGACACCTGTGGCTAGTGGCTAGTAATTTAGCATGCTAATTCAGGTTTATATCTCTGCAGCACTATAACTTGTCATTTTTTAAATGACATCATCGCCCTTATTTCTTCTCATTTTTTTGATGCGTGTAGCTCTTTTTTTTTTTTTTTTTACCTTAATTCTTACACATGGCACCTTTAACATTTACATTTACATTTATTCATTTAGCTGACGCTTTTATCCAAAGCGACTTACAATTGCTATATATGTCAGAGGTCGCACGCCTCTGGAGCAACTAGGGGTTAAGTGTCTTGCTCAGGGACACATTGGTGTCTCACAGTGGATTCGAACCCGGGTCTCTCACACCAAAGGCATGTGTCTTATCCACTGCGCCACCACCACCCACCACCCATTTAAGAAACAAACAGGCTTTACATCCGTGAATAAAATATATTTGATTTCAGTACAGATTTATTTAGGGTTGTCCCATATTAGACTGCCTTTATTGTACACAAATTAATGAATTCTCTAAGATTTTTTATATTGAGATTGTTGTATTAAAATAGTTTTCTATATAGGTTTAATATTTCTGTAAACAAAAGAGATCATCATAACAACATTGTTTGTGCAAATAACTTGCAGCTGGAAGAGCACCGTTCAGACCAGAAACAGCTGAAGGTCCTGCAGAAGAAACTTCTCCAGGTGCTGAAGGAGAAGGATCAGCTCCAGAGTGAACACAGCCGAGCTGTTCTGGCCCGCAGTAAACTAGAAGGCCTGTGCAGGGAGCTGCAAAGACACAACAAGACGTTAAAGGTGCCAATATCATCCAATCTCATGGATATGATTGTGTGAAAACATATTATATTGCTTTAAACACTGATATCTACTAATGAGCACAAATCAAAACATGCTCGACAAAAATAAAAAGTGTCAAAGTGGTAACAATTTACAATAAGGTTTAACATTAGTTAACTATTGTTATATGAAAGTATTTCTAAAGCATTTATCAATCTCAGTTAATGTTAATTTCAACATTTACTAATACATTATTAAAATCCAAAGTTGTGTCTGTTAATATTAGGGCTAACATGAACTAAGAATGAACATTTGTATTACATATCTACTCTCACTCTGTCTCCTCTCCACCAGTAAGCTGGTGTGTGTTGGGCGTTCTGGCACAATATGGCTGCCGTCGCATCATCCAGGTGATGCTGCACATTGGTGGTGGTTGAGGAGATTCCCCCTTCTATGTAAAGCGCTTTGAGTGCAGAGAAAAGCGCTATATAAATGTAATGAATTATTATTATTATCTAGTTCAGTTATGAAACTCTAGAGGGCGCAGGCTGTGGTCCTTTACATGCAATTTGCAAGCTATCACATGACACAAGCTGATTGGCCTCTGCCGATCTTGCAGCAAATGAGATTGCTTGCTCAACATTTAAATAGTCTGGTTCATTGTTTGCTGTAAGCTCTGAAACCCTCCACCTTCCCCAGCTCCACTTGCCTAGATATGCTATGGGATTTATGTAGCTATATTTATGCAGAAGCAGCATATCTGACGCTTACATCAGCATGTCTGTGTGTCTATTAGTAGTAACAAGTCCATACTACAGAAATCCCACCCTGCAAAAACTAATTTCGGGAGGTAGCGCTATCGGGAGGATGCATTATCACCGAAAATGCATCTTAAAACCAGGTGGAAAAGGGGCTTCTCCCAGGCTCGCTTGATTTCAGGGACATTGCATATAGTAGCTAGTGCTAAAACCATTCCGAGAGTTGTGAATATTGTAAACAAAGATGAATAAATACTGTAGAAATTATATTGCTGTTAAGTAATGGGACCTGACTAATGGGAAAGTTCTAAAGTAAGCCAAATAAAGGTAAGATAAACAATGTTTAATAAATAGCACTGCAATGGCAATATACAAAATCACAGTAAAAGGGTTTATATTACAAGATCACCCCCTACTGACAAACACAACAAAACACAAGATAACTTATGTCATTATGACCAAGATGTTTGTTTTTTTACTAGAACTCACTTCTTTACTACTCACATCTGTCTGATGACGCTTTTGGTGCAGGAGGAAACCCTACAGAGGTGTCGTGAAGATGATCTCAAGAGGAAGGAAATCACCACGCATTTCCAGAACACGCTGACGGACATCCAGGCCCAGATCGAGGAGCACAGCAGCCGCAACAACAAACTGTGCCAGGAGAACAGCGAGCTGGCTGAGAAACTCAAGGACCTCATATCAAAATGTGACCAGCGAGAGGCGGTACGGAAAACCAACAGGAGGTCACTCTGGTTTGACCTGAGATCATATCATTCCAATCAGTGATATTTTACTATCATTGAGATCCTATTATAGTTTACTGTATATATATATATGTAAGACAAGAATATAAGGATATACAAGGGAAATTGGGACATTTTTCCTGGTCATCTCAATGGCAAAATATTTACCTGAATACATTTTCTGTTTTCATTTTAGTTAAATAGTAAATTTAGTAAATTTGTATTTTTTGTCATTTTCATTCATTTATAAAAAAAATATGTAGTTTTTATTACAGTTTAAAATAAGTTAAATTAGATTTTATTTCAATTAATGTTTATTTTATTTCAAGTAATTGAAACTTGAACTTGAAGTAATAAACATGTTTTTTACAGTTTTAGTTTTAGTTAAATGTAATAACCCTGTTCTGAATAAAGTGTTTCAGACCTAGTCCTCAAGTAGAATGTGGATAGAAGTATATAAGAATAATTTAAGAACAATTGTGTAATCGTGTTTTTGGCCTTCATGCAGAATCTTGAAAAAGTGTTCAAGCACCGAGACCTGCATCAGAAATTAATGGAGACAAAACTCGCAAAGGCCAACGTAATGCTCAAAGAGGCGGAGGAGAAACACAAACTGGAGAAGGAGCTTGTGAGTAAAATATCTAAAGAAAAGAATGCCCTCAACTGCAAATAGTAAATTTGTATTGCATAAATGATCTTGCATACAGTACGCTAATTTATCTTGCTGCTATTTTGAGCCCAGAGAAATATAAACCATAAATTATTGCCATTGTGCTTTTAAGCAAAGAACTTAGCTCCTGAAATAGCTATACTATTTTTTCTGGGACTATACTTCCGATCTATGTATTCTCCAGTTTCTGAAGCAGACTGCAGAGGCCAAAATACAGGTTAAACTTCTGAAAGTACAAGAGACTGATATGAAAGCCCAGGTACATTTTCATCAAATATTACACATCTCTAGTTTTTTCTTTTCTCTAATCATATTTGTTCACAAAATAACTCACTTGTTTTCCGGTTAGCTTGCTGTATATTCTGAGAAGTTTGATGAATTCCAAGGAACGGTATCTAAGAGCAGTGGTGTGTATGCCAGCTTCAAACAAGACATGGACAAGGTGTGTATCCCTGACACATTTCTCGTCACTTTATAGTGGTTTTATAGTCATTATACTGTATTATTCTTCAACGTATAAGAAGAACATTGTAAAAAATAATAATATTGTAGAAATATCACAATTAACTGTTAATCAATAGTCAAATAATATACAGAATATATAATACTTTTTTTATTTTTATTTGAATGCATCAAATTGCATTGTTGAAATTTAGTTTACAGTCTTTTTACATAAAATGCATCAATATTAAGTATCTTTTTGAGCTATTAAAAGGGGCTTGGGGTCTCTCAGTTTCAGGTTGTATTGTTAATTAAAACTAAAACTATTAAAAACTTTTTGTTAGATGAAATAAATTAAAGGAAAAGCTGATCCTGGAACAACATTCCAATCAACCAATCAGATTTGAGGGACAAGTTTACAGTTTATGTGAAGATAGGCTTACAAGCAGTGTTATGTGCTTCTACTGTTATTCATTTCCCTCTGATTTTAGGGATAACTTTTGGGTAAGGGTTAGATATGGAATGTTGTTCCAGGATCAACAAAATGCGTGTCTTATCTGCAAAATCACAACGTCTAATACTAAAATAACACTAAGCTAAGATGTTGATTTGTATTACAGATGGCAAAGAAGATGAAAAAGTTGGAGAAGGAGGCAATTGGCTGGAAATCCCGTTTTGATGGCTGCAATAAAGCTCTTCTTGATATGGTTGGAGATGTAAGTTGCTCAGTTCATACATCATAAATCAATATTGTAGAATGCAGCGAACCATCTCTGTATATTTAATGTTTGCAACTAAACAACTAGCTGTACAATAAGAATCAAGAGTATGAATCTTGACACAGTGTTTCAGTATTGCTGAAAGTCTTATGGAGCAATATGCTCACTATTGTTTCATGCAGAAAGCACTGAAGGAGAAGGAGATTGAACTCTTCACCCTGAAGACCCAGAAACTTGAGAATCTCTGTAGAGCGCTTCAAGACGAGAGGAAAACACTGTCTCAGAAGCTCAATGGATCCCAACAGGCCGGAGCCAACAATGCAGTGGCTGCTGCGTCCGTCACTACAGAGAAAGCTACAGAAGCAACCGAGGAAGTTGCAGTAACTAAAGAGGAAGAGGCAGTCTCAACAGAAGTGGTCAGTCAAGATCCAGAAACCCCCATTGAGCCAATCTGTAAGTCTCCCGCAGAAGCAACGCCGCTGACCAAAGAGCTCTTCAACGTGAAGGCTGAGAAAGCTCGGCTACAGGAGATCGCGGCAGCGTTCACCATTCGCCGCCACATGCCGCCAGAGGCTTACGAGGACTCAGACATCTGTGCTGAGAGTCTAGACGACGCTCAGGGTGAGCAACAGGTCGTAGAGGAGCTCAACTTCACAGAGGAGATGCCACCCCACACTGACACACTGTCTGAAGAACATCAAGAGCTCAGAGACAAAGACATGCAGTCGGTTGATTAGACCGACTAATCCAAATGTCAATCTCTCACACATTCACGAATAAAGTTTATTCTACATCTTTGCGCATCATGCTTGTAACTCGAAGTTTGAACTATTACACCATACATGCTTGTAGTATTATGTATTTCAAGACAGCATAAGCATACCTGCCAACTTTCGAGTCTTGCTTGGAGTGAGATTTGTTGACGGGGGGGGGGGGGGGGGGTTTGGGCGAGACGATTGAGATGTGTTGACGGGCGGGGGGGGGGGGGGGGGGGGGGGGGGGGGTTGTCTCTCGCTCGCTCTACGCGGTTTGGAGCAAAATCTCTGTCTCGCATGCACGCTCGCTCTAGATTGCGGGAGATTTTTAACGAATTTGCAGTATAACTAGTCGATCACGAGTGGCTCAACAGGTAGATCTATAGATAAACTCATCTTTCAGGCATTTGACCGGCCGGGTTGACACTTCAGCGTGAGAAATCGGGAGTGTGGCGTGTGAGCGTGTGAAACCAATCAAATGCGTGTGTCTCACGGCCAATGCGTGAGAGTTGGCAGCTCTGATAAGCGATGTGAGGTTAGACTAACAACTCTGAACTTGTGAAATGGTGACAAAGTGCATTCATTTGGAGAAACTTTGATGGAACTTTTGGAAAGTACAGATAGAGAGAAGATAATATTACATTTTCATACTAAATCGTTATTGGCTTTGTATTATCTTAGATATAGCATTTTTCTCTCTTTCAGTTTGCTCTTGCTTTTTTGTCGGGGTTCGCCACAGTGGAATAATCCGCATAGCCGATTTGGCACATATTTAAGACAAAGACTGTAAAGAAAATATGGACGTAGTGTCCGTGGCGTCACTCGGAGGTTTCTGAAGAGCATTTTTGAATCTCAAAGTGGGCGGAGCCGGCCGTCGCCATCTTGGTAGCACGTCACCGCGCGACACTCCTGGATGAATGAAAATGTGCAAAAAAGGCGGGATTAGCTGAGGTGACGTAACAGCTAACAGACAGCAGTGGCAATCCACCCGTCACTCAAGTGGCCACGCCCTTTATTATGCAGAACCTTAAAGGAGTCATATAATGCCATTTTTATACAAGTTAATATGATTCTTTAGGGTCTAAATAAAAAGTTTGTAATATACTTTAATTAAAAATTCTCATTAGTATTATAAGAAAACACTCATTTTACCTGGTCAAAAACAGCTCTGTTTTCAGCACGCCATTTAAGTGCATGTGTCTTTAAATGATAAAGAGCTTTACTCACCCCGCCCCTCTGTTCTGTGGGGCGTTTTGACACAGCACACGTGGAGTGTTGCCTTGACAACAGTTGAAGGTATATTTTGGAGAAAGAATGGCAGCGGGAGTCTCTGAGGACCGTATCAGTTTGAACCGGAGTCGGACCCGGAACAAGATGACGGCCCCGAAGAAATTTCTGAATGGTTGGTGTTGTGGAAAAATGTATATTTTAGTTTTCATTAGACATTGGGGTTTTCTTTCGATTCAATCATGTATTTCTCTCCTGGAATGTATGCATGAAAAGCAGGAACAAAGACACACACACACACACACACACACACACATAGCAAATGGTCAGGAAGAGCCTCTGAACTCTTTAGCATGGGCAATCAGTAAAACCCAGGGGGGCTAGAAGGACCACTGTCTTCAGAAAGACAGAGGGGTTTATCTAGCCTTTTGACCTCACAGGTGTGAGGACAGTAAAGCCCAGGGGGGCCTCTTATACTCCTTTCTTCTATACTGAAGAAAGGAGTATAAGAGGCATCTGTTTTTATGTGTGGTAGGTCTTCTTCATATGGCGAGGTAGCTGACATTGTTGTGAACAGGCCTCCTTTAAAAGAATAAATATCTTTTAAAGTACAATTTGAATCTTGATGTCTCTTATGCTGTGATGCTGTTTGTTTTATTATTGTTTTTGCCACAACATTGGTTAACGTAATGTCACTTTGACCCCATTTACACCTGGTATTAAAATGAGATCTGTATCCAGATAAGTTATCCGGATAATAAGGGCCAATCCCAATTCTACCCCTTACCCCTTCACTTACCCCTTCCCCTCTGTTTTGCGTGTGCACGTGAAGGGGTAGGGCTGTCTCAATTCTCTTTTGGTTGGAGGGGTAGGGGTAAGGGGAAGGGCCAGATAGCCCTTCAAACGAAGATTTTTCGGGACCACACTTCAAACGAAGGGGTATGAGAAGTGTCACTGCATACACCGGCTACAGACGCAAAATGGCTGCCCACGCAAAAATATTTACATTTTTAACGACAAATAATGATTTCCTTTATGTTACATTCAATCTTGTGTTCATATTTACGGTCAGTTTCTTCAAAGAAATGTTTGTAAAAAAAGAAAACATCGGTGAAGTTTGCTAACGATAGTCCCGCAACATATTTTCATGTCAACTGGTGAATGTAATTGCGGAAGGGAATTGGCTTATATTTTACAGTAGGTACATCTGCTATGAACGCATTGTTTTTTTGTGGTTATATGTGAACACGATATAAACGAACAGTGCTTACAGTTTCGTGCTTTTTGCAATATGATCAGATCAACCAGTCTTGTATGGTCTTTATCAAACAGGGACACCTGAGGAAACCCGGAGGATAATTCGTTTTCGCGTTGACAACGAGCAACATTTCCATAAGTCCAAATACAAGGCAAAACAACTTTGGGAGTGAGTCTGTCAAACGTTACTGTGCTTCACAAGACAAATGCAAAAAAATAGCTGTAACCCATGCAACTGAGATGACTGCAGCTATCGACAGCATCTTGGAAGTTTGTGATAAACATCGGCGCATCTCCTGTGACGTAGGCGCTAGCGACGACGTATAATGACGTGTAACCGTGTAGTAGTGGTGTCCCATTTCTTAGGGGAATATTTTCACCCCTTCGCCTTGCCACTCTGTTTCAAGGGTCAAGGGGAAGGGGAAGGGGTAGACGAAGGGGAAAGGGGTAGAATTGGGATTGGGCCTAAGTGTTCTGATCTTACCTTTGCGTTTACACCTTCTATTTTTAATGCGTTCTCGTTATCCACATTGAGTTCGGATCTCTGGCCTTGTCCACACGGACACGGGTATTTTTATAACCGGAGTTAATTTCCCCCTGCGCTTAAAAAAAAAATCCCGTCCACATGAAAACGCAAAAACACGCTATCAAGCGCTGTCAAGAGCATGCCACACCAGCAGGCGGCGATATAACCCTAACCGTAAAGCCACGTTGGCCAAACAGAAGCCTAACAAAAAGTTATTACAGGTTCCGGTAGGCGGATAACGGCGCACACTGGCGTCGCAAGGCAAAAACCCTGGTTTTACTGTCTACACGACAACACTATAACCGGCGTTTCTGAAAATCCTCACCCTGGCAGGGGTTTTCAAAAATGTTCGGTTTCAGTGACCTGATACTGCGTTTCCGTGTGGACAAACGGCCGAACCGCGTAAAAAAAGTCACGGTTATAAAAATACCCGTGTCCGTGTGGACAAGGCCTCTGTCCTCCAGAAAAAAAAAAGAAGTTTGGCAGGTACGAATGCCATCACGTCGTACGGATTGCGTTTACACCTAGTAAAGATCCGAACACAATGCGAGCCAGACTACCTCCAGATGTGGTCAGGCAGATCACAATCCGATCACAACGTATTTACACCTTGCATTAACATGCGTTTTTTATTATCCGGATAACTTAACTGGATACAGATCACATTTTATTACCAGGTGTAAATGGGGTCTTTGATCTATCTTGATGTTAGAGGTAATGGTCATGAAGAATTTCGCGATTTGCAAAGACTAATATAAAGGTTAATAACACTTTACACTCACTTCTTCTGGAGGTGCATCAGGAACACGAATAGTTGGTACCGATTCTTTTTTCAGGAGCAGCTTCTTAGCAAAACCAGCTTTATACTGACCCTCGTTTATAAAGCAGTCTGGTGAGAAATGATTCACGCAAACATGAAAGCATTGACGTTGCTCGTGGGGAATATTCCCTTCGAAAACAAAACTCAGCCACTGCGTCTTCAGCGGTTCGGATTTAGGAACATCAAAATGACTGCTGTGTTCGTTATTACACCCAAGAACAGAACACCACAATCGCTTAGATGCCATTCAGCTCCAGTGTATCAACAATGACGGACTATGATGACAGCTCGCTCAGGGCGGGTCTGTGTTGAAACTCTGCTGTCAATTAACAATCGTGGGAGGGGCGTCCTACCGTGTGACGTCACACGGTCAGACGGCTCGATGGATGGATTTTTTATCATTATATGATGGTTGTGTACAGACACTGCCAACACACATTTCAGTACAATCAACTTGTAAAAGTGCATGTTATATGACCCCTTTAAGGCTTAATATAATTTAAACAGATGAGTTAAAATAATTCACCCCCCTCAAAGTTGTCAGGAAGGGCAATATTAGCTATATAGACAAAAATCAAACCTTTTTGCACCAGGCTGTAAACACATTTATTTCTGCTGTAAAGTTTGGCATTTTAACATGGGGGGTCTATGTGATTGACTCTCTTTTGCAGCCTGTCTCTAGCGGCCAGTCGATGAATTGCAGTTTAAGTCACTTCCATGTTGGATTCAAGAGAGAGATTGGATGGTTGCCGCTTGGTTTTACATTGGATGCCATTCCTGCAGCAACCCAACCAGCACTGACAGTGCACTAACTCGTGCAATCCCACACACATTGGGACTTGCTCACACACACGGTTTCACAATCTTTGTGGGGACTCTCTATAGGCATAATGATTTTTATATTGTACAAACTGTAATTTCTATTCCCAAACCCTAAACTTTAGAAAACTTTCTGGATTTTTACATTTTCCAAAAAATAAAACATAATTTAGTATGTTTATTAATCCATTTCCCTCTTGGGGACCACTGGCTGTATAGATTTTACTATCCTTGTAGGGACTGTCGTGGAAATTCTCAATACGAATATAACCTACTAAATCTGACTTCTACACCACGGACAATTCAAACAACTTCCAGTTGTTAATATAATAAAATAATATACTACAGTATCTCGAGGTAATTCCCTGAATACTTACAAAACAATCCAATA